GTGAGGATTGAGCGGTGGATGGACGGATAAAACTGACGTGACCGTTTTGGACTCTGGGTTTTCTCACATTGTAAAGATGATCTTGTTGATGATGTTCTTTAAATGTTTTTTTAATGTGAGTTTTGTTTCTTTGCTTTCACACAGTTGGAACTTTACCAACAACAGAAACATCTAAAACAAAAGTTCATGTTCAAGTTGCAGAACTCCTGAAAGCTGCTGCTCAGTCACATGGAGCAGAGACTTCTGGTCCAACAGAAGCTTCCTGGACTGTCGGGCTGCTGGGCTTCTGACCAGATGATGTGAAAATGGTGGAATATGTTAGAGTCTTAGATGTTTGTCTCGGGAAAGCAAAATGCCTTCAGCAGCTGTTTAATGTGGATCTTCAGGACCTTCTGTGTTCAGGTTGTAAATGAGCTCTGGATGTTCAGCTGGTGTCTTCCTCATGAATCTTTAATGCTGTTGACAGAGCTCGTCTTCTCCCTCTGATCAGACCATCAGTGCTTCATGAAATGCTCTATATTTCTTCTGGAGTCTAATCGCCTCAGAGTGGATCTGCATCGCTGCTCTGTGTTAAAATTTAATTGGACTAATTGCAGAGGCGCTGAAGAGCAGGTAGTCGTGCTCTGAGCGCGCTCCCTGGAGTCCCGGCGGTTTCCGGTAAAACGGCGTCCTGATGCTGCTGATTGATAAAGATCCACTCAGGAGGAAGCTGAGAGCTAATGGAGGCTAATTTATGACAGCATTAACAGAGAGGGGGCGGGGCTAATGATGTCACAGCATCAGGAGGAAGAGGACGGTGAAGATGATGATGAAACACTCCACCAGGAACAGAGACCAGATGTCCTGAGGACCATGTGGCCAGAAATTCAATTCAATTCAATTCAATTCAATTCAATTCAGTTTTATTTGTATAGCGCATATTTACAACAACAGTCATCTCATAGCGCTTCACAAAGGCAGAAACAGAAACACCCAACAATCCAAACATCTGGATTCTCTATAAGCTTCAGCAGTCTGCTGGTGGGACGGAACCGAAAACCCCCACAGGGGAAAAAAACCTCCGACAGAACCAGGCTCAGGGAGGGACGGCCATCTGCCTCGACCGGTTGGGTGAGAGTGGGATGAATTATTCAATTTAGTGTACAGTTAAACAAGTTATTAGAATTGTATAGAAATGATGGTTTCTCTTCGCTGTACTGAAACATGTGACAGACGTGTGGAAACCTCAGAGTGCTTTTAAACACGCTGAACGGATCCGAGGACACGTTTCTAGTCGATGTTTCACATTAATGTCAGAATAGAAACCTGTGAAAACCTGTTTTTGTTTCTGTTTGTTTCAGAGTGTTTAAGAAAGCCAGTCCCAATGGAAAGGTGAGTGTTCTTCTTTATTCTGTTCCCTGGTTTCCTGTGAAGTGTGTCGACTAGAGGATGCTGTTTGCTTGCTCTCAGCTCACCGTCTATCTGGGGAAGAGAGACTTTGTGGACCACGTGGACCTGGTGGAACCTGTCGGTGAGCTTTCCACTTGTTTCTCCGTTACGGTGAAGCTTCACTGACATAGTTTAGATTCTGGTATTCACCAGCCGCTTGTCCTTTCTCATGTTCTGTTCCTGCAGACGGCGTCGTTCTGATCGACCCAGAATACCTGAAGGAGAGGAAAGGTGAGAAGTTCAGCACATCAGCAGGTTAAATGTCCTCAGCGTCATGTCAAAGTTCAGCCAATCAGAGAAGTCGATCAGTTTTGTGAAGAAGGCTGTCGTTCATAAGTGTCGAACAGCTGGTCTCTGAAAATGCTGTAACACGTTTTGTTTTCTTTTTTAAACGAAGAAAATGTCCTTTTGTGTTACGATGTGAACAGTCGTGTGGAAAATGTCGCTGACGCCGTAGACGATGTGGTCGAGTGTGTGTTGAACAGTGTTGTAGCGCAGCATGTCGTAAAACTGTTGATAAAAACGTTCTTAAAAATGTCGTCTCATATACGGTTGAAAACGTGGAGCTGGAGTTTAGCGTGTTGCGGCACATTGTTCGATTTGATACCAACGTTTTGACTCATAGCCTTTAAATTTGTGCTGCTTTGTCAAAATATATTGTCAAAAAAGTTGCAGGAGAAAACGTTTAAAAAACGCTGTGGAAGTTGAATGTTTCATCTGTTTGCATGTTTTGGTGCCTTAAGATGTCAAATCACGCAGGAATTCACAAACACACCAGAACAGGACACACAGAACAAACTGGCGTGGAGTGAAACCTTCTCATGGCGTCCCTCAGGGAAGCGCTGTGGAGCCACTGCTGTTTCTAATCAAACATGCAGCTCTTTATCTTTTACACTAAATTCTCTCACTGCAGTAAACAGAGAGGATTGTGTTAGCGTAGCTTAGCACAAACTGGAAGCAGGGGGAAACTGCTAGCCTACTAACAGTGTCTGTTGTTTCCTGGCCAGTGTTCGTCACGCTGACCTGCGCCTTCCGTTACGGTCGTGAGGATCTGGACGTCCTCGGGTTGACGTTTCGGAAGGATCTGTTTGTGGCGAACATCCAGGCGTTTCCTCCGCTGCCCGAAGAGAAGAAGAGTCTGACTCGCCTTCAGGAGCGCCTCATTAAGAAACTGGGAGAACACGCCTACCCGTTCACCTTCGAGGTACGACCCGGTTCACCGGGTTCATCTCCATCTGATGGAGTCACAGGACTCCAACCCGTCAGCGCTTCGCTAAATGAGAGTTATGAGTACAGTGGGTCAAAACATCAGTTTCAGGTGAAGGCTGAACATGTAAGTAGAACCAGCTCCTCTGGTTCTGATCCATGCTGCATCCATTCATTGATCCAGTAGGATGGATTCTCCTTCAGTCTCTCTGAAGAAGCTCTCTGAATGTTTCCTGTTGGTCACAGCTGGGTCAGTGGTGGAGGATCAGAACCAGGAGGAGGAAGGTTCTGGTTCTACAGGATCAGAACCAGGAGGAGGAAGGTTCTGGTTCTACTGAACCTGATTAGTGAAAATGGTGTTAAATTCAGATGAGACATGAACTGAGATGAAGTACGACTAGAAGCTCAGATGCGGTCCGTTGTTCTGATGAAACATCACGTCCCAGATGATTCCTTCAAGAACCAACGGTTCTGTCTGATCCAGGTTTTTCTGGCTGAATTAAGTCATTCTGGAGCTTTTAAAGGGAACGACCAGCTGGTGGGTTCTGGAGGTCAGCGGGTTAAACTCTGTGTGACGTGGGGTGTGTTGGCCGGGTTCTGTCAGTGGGTCCATCTGGGTTTGAAATAACATGAATGAAATGCAGCCACGAGTCTGAAATATGAGCCATGAAGGTGTTCAGACGGCTGATGAGATTTAAACTAGCGACACTCACAGAGTCACAGTTTGCTTTTGCAGCTCCGAGCGTCTCCTTTAGACCCATCAGTCATGGTTCTGTTCTGGTTCTGACTGACTGCTACACAGACAGAGTCTTCACCCTCGTGTATCAGAAGCCTTTCCGGCTGTTTTCAGCGTTTGTTCTTATGTTTCAGATTCCTCTGAACCTGCCGTGTTCGGTCACGCTGCAGCCGGGACCAGAGGACACCGGGAAGGTAACGGACCGAGCCTGCAGCCTCAGTACAACTTGTTTACCCTCAAGTCTGAAGCTCTCTCTGTCCGTCCTGTCTTCAGGCCTGCGGCGTCGACTTCGAGGTGAAAGCTTTCTGCGCAGAAAACGTTGAAGAAAAGATCCACAAAAGGTAAAAGTGCTGCCCAGTGACACTCCCCGTCCTCCGGCACCACACGGACCTGAATGATGAATGAAAGAGGAATCAGTGGAGCATCGCCTAACCCTGACCCTAAACCCTAAACCCTAAACACTAAACCTGAACCTGAACCCTAAACCTGACCATGACCCTAAACCTGAACCTGAACCGTAACCCCGACAGCACGACGACACGGGCTGAAGTTAAATATGTGAAACAGGCACATTTCTTCTGCACGTCTCATTTAAATAACTTAATAAAATACACCAGAACCTTCCTCCTCCTGGTTCTGACCCTGTAGAACCAGAACCCTCCTCCTCCTGGTTCTGATCCTGTAGAACCAGAACCTTCCTCCTCCTGGTTCTGATCCTCCACCACTGACCCAGCTGAGACCAACAGGAAACATTCAGAGAGCTTCAGGTGAGCTGCAGCCAGAGTTTCCTCAGAGAGACTGAAGGAGAATCCATCCTACTGGATCAATGAGTAGATGCAGCACGGATCAGAACCAGAGACCAGAGGAGCCAGCTGGTGGAGATACATTCATCTGATGGTGGAACATCTTTCTACATCTGATGGTGGAACATCTTTCTACAGCTGATGAGCAGAGCAGAGAGGAACAGTCTGGAGACATGGAGATAGTTCAACATCTGCAGGACCAGGAGACATGAGCTCCAGGGTTTAGCATCTGGAGACATGATGTCTCCTGGTTTTTACAATTTTGTAAAATAAATAATCAAAGAAACATTTCTTCTCTGGTCTCCATGGCTCTGAGTCCTGCTGACTGAAGACGTCTCTGAGGTGTCTCTCCTCCTTCTTGTCTTTCTGGTTCCACAGAGCTCCAGGACATGATGTTGCAGAGAAACATGGACCTCAGTGAGTTAAAACGTGTTTTGTTGTTGCAGGAACTCGGTGCGTCTGGTGATCAGGAAGGTTCAATATGCTCCAGAGAAACCAGGTCCTCAGCCGACAGCAGAAACCACCAGACAGTTTCTGATGTCGGACAAACCTCTACACCTGGAGGCCTCTCTGGACAAGGAGGTAACACCTGGACACACCTGTATCCTGTGTCACATGGTCTAGAAGATCGAGTACTTCCTGCCTTTTGCTTCTCAGCTGCTGAACCGTCTGATGTCTGTCTTTTAAATCTCAGCTGAAGCCTACACATGTTTTATACTTTCAGTCCTCTGCTTTGTTTCGTCTTCATTGTTTCTACTGTTATTGGTTTCAGCTGTTGGTCTGTTTATTATGTGTATGTTGTAGACGTGTCGTGAAGACTCGGTCAGAACGTCACAGCTGCGTTTGTGAGTCTTTACATGTTTTCCAGAATCCGGTAACGGAGCCTGGGTTTGATGAATAATCTTGATTTTCAGGTCAGATTTGGTTGTTTTTTCCTGGTTTAACGTCACAGATGAGCAGTTAAAGGACTGTCGGAAAGTTGGAAACCTGGCAGTTGTTTTAGTTTTTGCGTTTTCTGGCTGTGGGTTTTACATCAGTGGCTGTAATTATTTCTATTCCTCTGCTTTTGGTGTGTCCGTGGTTATGGTGTTCTCCTGGGATGTTCCCGGCTGGTTTGTGCCAAAAGTAGTTTTCATGAAGACATGAAGCTTGGAGGTGGTACGGTGGAGCAGTGGTTAGAACTGTGGCCTCACAGGGTTTGAATCTTCTCGTTTTCTTATTATTTATTGGAACACAAGGTCCACAGTAACTGCACCAGACTGACCACTGGGACTGGACGGGAGCTAATATCACAGGACCTGGTCAGAGCTGTGCAGAAAGTTGGAGGGTGGATGATGTCGTAGGAGAAGCAGTTCACCACAGATAGGAACAAGAACATAGACTTCAGATGTGAACAGAGTTTATACTCTTAGACTTGGTTCACTTGTTGAGTTCTGGGTCCTGAACATTTTCACAACCTGTTGTTGTTGTTGTTGTTGTTGTTG